AGATGGCACGCTCCGACCCTGCATTGATTATAGAGGTCTCAATGCTATCACCGTTAAGAATCTGATTTCTGAACTCTTTGACAGACTCCAAGATGCTCAAATTTTCACTAAGCTAGACCTCCGTGGAGCATACAATCTGGTTAGGATCCATGAGGGTGATGAGTGGAAAACAGCTTTCAATATGAGAAGGGCATTATGAATATCTTGTAATGCCCTTCGGCTTGTGTAATGCCCCAGCCGTCTTTAAGAACTTTGTTAATGCCATTTTTTCTGATCTCCTGTATGTTTGTGTCATTGTCTATCTGGATGACATACTCATTTTTTCTCCAGATTTAAAAACTCATCGTCAGCACGTATGTACTGTTCTCCTACGTCTTCGGGACCACCGCCTGTATGCAAAGTTGGACAAGTGTCTCTTCGAACAAACCCAGGTTCATTTTCTAGGCTACATAGTCACGGATAAAGTGCTGCTTATGGATCCTGCCAAACGCCAAGCCATCTCCAACTGGCCTCAGCCCTGAGTTGAAAGCCACACAGCGCTTCTTGGGATTCACCAACTTCTATTGCCAGTTCATTCCTGACTATTCTTTGCTGGTGTCCCCAATCACTTCTTTGACTCGAAAGGGTTCCAACACCAGAACCTGGCCTCTTGAGGCAGTCGACACATTCCACAAACTAAAATCCACCTTTCTCCCTGCATCTATTCTCATATGTCCAGACATTTTTCAGCCTTTTCTTCTTGGAGGTAGATGCTTCCTCTTTGGGAGTGGGGGCCGTCCTGCTCCAAATGCATGATGGTAAGCTCCGTCCTTGTGCCTTCTCTAAAAAAATTTTCAGATGCCAAAAATAATTACATCATCGGTGATTGGGAAATGCTGGCGATAAAGCTGGCACTGCAAAAAATGGCGACATCTGCTGGAGGGATCCCCACATCGCATCCTGATTTATACTGCTCATCAGAACCTCCAGTCTCTCCAGTCTGCCTGGCATTTGAACCCCAGGCAAGCATGATGGGCCCTCTTCTTTGCCAGATTTAATTTCAACATTACCTTCCGGCTCGGTTCCAAAAATGCCCATGCAAATGCCTTGTCCAGATCATTTGACAGTGCTGACTCTGAGTGTCATGTTGAACCGGAAACCTATCATTTCTGCCAATCGTATCCTGGCCACCACTCATTTCAGCCTAAACGCATCCCACCCGGAAAGACCTTTGTGGTCCCTGCCCTTTGTTCCAAGCTACTCAAATGGGCACACGACTCAACTTTCTGGACATCCTGGGGTGCAACGCACCTGTGCCTTCCTGCAGCGTCATTACTGGTGGCCCTCACTGCGGAAGGATGTTGAAGAATACGTTCAGGCTTGCTCCATTTGTGTGCAGTCTTAAGTCCTCTACATCTGCTCCAGCAGGTCTCATTTTACCTCTACCTGTTCCAGATGAACCTTGGCGTTGCATTTCCATGGACTTTATTTCTGAACTACCCCCTTCAGCTGGTTCCACTGTTATCTTGGTGATTGTGGACAGGTTTTCAAAAATGTGCCACCTAGAGATTCTGCTGTTAAGCTCCCAAGGCACAGGTAAGTACTCACAGCTATTGTCTTTTGCAACAGCCACAGGGCTCACTTATCCATCCACAGGGTTACAAGAGGATAGCAGCCAATTCACTCCTCCAAGTTGCTGCCCTTCCTGGAAGGTTGGCAAGTTAGGCCGTGTGTCCCACACTGTACCTGCAGCACACACAAATTCTCCAGGATCCCAAATTTTCCAACAAGAAAAAGGGAAGAACATGACCACGAAATCCAAGGGCGGCTAGCCTCTCCCTCACTCTCCCTTGTACGGTCGCTGGGACCACAGAGTGGGACCTGTACAGTCCGCTGCAGCAGCGGAACACTCCCGTGTCTGGATCGCTGCTGTACATTCAGGGTGCCTGCGAGACTATTGGCCTGCAGGTCAGTTCAGCCCTTTCCGGCCTCCCCATGCCTGCCTCATGCTTATCCATCTGTGGGGGTCACATGGATACCGGCCACTTTCTCTACTCCAAGTTGCTGTCCTTTCTGGAAGGCCGCCAAGTTTGGCTGTGTACCCCCCAACACACCTCTCCACAACCCCAAACTTTCCTAGAGGGAAAGGACATGGCCATGCAACCAGGGATGGCTAGCAGGCAGCCCCTCACTCCCTCCCCGTCAAGAGACTTGTAGTCTTCTGCAGTAGTGGAGCACACTTTCGTGTCCGGATCGCTGCTGCACATCCAGGGCGACCTGTGAGAGGCGTGTCCTACAGAATAGTTCAGCCCTCCCCAGCCTCTCTATGCCTGCCTAACAGGGGTACCATCCGACCCTCCTCGGTCTTCTGGTCAGTGAAAACAAACATTCCACTGTGTAGGTAGAAACACGATCAATACTGAGGGTCAAGGGGAAGGGTGGGGACATTTAACAGCTGTCAATTGATTGTTTCCTGTAGGGAGGAGCCTCTCACCTTTCAGGTGTGCCATTCTTGAAGGCAAGAGATGTTTTTGCCTGAAGTTCTGCTTTAACATGCATTATGCCAGTGTTTATAAGTGTTTTATACTTCTAGACCCTGCCTTCTCCCATCCCTTACTGTTCTGTCCCAGCAAGACAACTCCCCTCAGCCACCACATTCAAATCTATTCAGAGCATTATTAGGACCTGGCAGTATTGGTGCTTCATCATTTCATAGTCTTGACCCATTGGATTTTGTCTATTGAGCATACATCTTCTAACAGTCCGGTGATTGGACATGCTTGTGTAAGTGAATAAGGGTGAATGCCATATGCACCTACAGCTTGGTGGCAACCTCATTTTCAGCCACAGAGAAAGCTCTACCTGCCACTCCCTAAGCAGAGGACTTTGTCACGTGAAAAAAAAAACAAAAAACAAACATGATTTTTAGGTGTGAAAGCGACTACACGTTTCACGTTGAAAGAAGTGATGCAACATTCTTGCTTCCGCTGTATAAGACAAGACACAGCCAACAGATGGGAAGCCTCACATTAGTCACTGTATATGTGTTGCTAGTAATATGGAGTCATGTCAGAGCTTACTAAGCTTTAAAGAGGGCAAATTGTTGGCCACTTAGCTGGTGTCTCTGTAACGGACGTTGCCAATTTGCCGTGTTAAGAGGTCCAGTATCAAAGGTTTTGACAGCATATAGTTTTTTGGGAAAAGGCATCCTGATAAGCATAAGCGCAGTCGACATGGTCAGCTGACCGAAAGACAAAGGACACTGGAGGATTGTGACCCAGAATAAGAAAACTGCTGCAAAAGTAACTGCAGAGCTCATTCTTGTTTTCACGGGACTAAGATTCAGCTCTGCAGTCACTTTTGCAGCAGTTTTCTTAATCCAGGTCACAATCCTACACAATGGCCTTTTGGCCAGTTGACAGTGCTTATGCTTATCAGGCATTTTCCTGGAAAATGTACATGCCATTACAACCTTAGATACTGTACCTTGGGACACCACAAATAAATTAGTAACTTCAGTCAGAAGCATCAGCTAAGCGGCAGCAACAGTTTGCCCTTTTTGAAGCGCAGTAAGCTCTGACATGACCATTAATAGCAGTGCATGCAGTGAATAACGAAAGTGAGGCTTCCCACCTGTTAGCTAGGTGTCTCATCACACAGTGGAAGCAAATGAATGCTACATATTTCCACTTTCAGCACAAAACACGGCATCACTTTCACACCTGCAAATCATGTAGGGTTTCCATTTTTTGCCTAACCCCTCAGAATTTCAAAGACGAGTTGTATAAATGTAACACTAGGAAAAGAGGGACCATTTGTACTGCTATATATGCGCTTCCTTTCTACTTACAAACCACACACAGCCCTTATCTCACATTTCCTTTCAAACAATAGGGGTGGGGATTTCTTCAATTTGCAACAAGACATGGTTTACAAAATGTCTTTATTTTCATACATAATTTCCAACAGAAGGGATAAATTGCACAAGATCTTTTTTTTCTTCGCATGTGGAACTACAATGACAAGAAACAAGCTGAGGTGTTCAAACAATCACAGGATAAAATGCGACACCCTCATTACAGGAATACATCTGGAAGTTATAAAAAATAAACGTGTCATTCAAGAACTAGTAAAGTGGCTTCCTTCAACCTTGAAGTTCCAGTGTACTGAAATGATTACACCGCAGATTACTGTGTGCATAACATGCATCTGTTACATGCCAAGTGAACACCAGGACAACAAGGCCAGGAGTGTAATGATGGGTTTATTGGAATAGGCACAGGTTTGTCAACTGAACAGCAGCAAGGAGGGAAAGAAGAAAAAAAAAAAATAAAAAAATATGTCCACATTTGCTGTTAGCCACTGATTTAAATGAATAGCTGCTATATAGAAAGTACAAAGAACCTGCTAACAGCAATTTCATTTAATTCAATAGCCAAACCCAATATTTACTAATGGCTTTCAATACCCCACAATGTACAACTTTGGGTTTTTACAGGGAGGGAAAAATGGAAAAAAATGCTTTGCAAAGTAAAAGTTATGGGCCCAACCAATAAAAAGGGGTAAGGTAATCACCACAACCAAAATTGGCTGCAGCAGTTTTCTACATTGTACATTATAATACACAACACATCAGTTGCAGAAACTGGTGGTTCCAATTTTTCTATTTAAATATCAGAAAAATTTCAAGTCCTTGACATAAGTGTCCTGTAATTACTTATGTGCATTTTTTTCTATATATATATATTTTTTAAATTTTAAACATGAAGTGAAACCATTAATACTTCTCTACAGCAGTAACCGCACACCAAAAAAAGTCAACGACCTCAACATAAAAATTAAAAAAAAAAAAAAAAACAAACAAAAAAGGAGTTTCCCAAAGCTGCAGCGTGAAGAAACTAAAAACTTTATTTCCGTTACACATGGATGGACTCTTTGCTATAGGAAATCCACGTGGAGCGATTAGGAATGGAGACGTGTAAAAAGGGTTGTTCTGGGAAAAGATGTGTCTGCTGCACAGGTTAGTTGTTCTCTTCTGGTTCACCGCCCTCACCACCTTCATTGGTATCCGACGTCCATAACTGGAGGGGAGAACAACAGTAAAAATTTTAACATGTTACAACAGTGCAAGGCTTACTCACATCTCTTCCCATGTAATAACATTCATAAACCTGATGAAGTTCCACATGCTTTAATGTCCATTATCTAAACACATGAGGGGTGGGAATGTATATATTTAAGCTCACCAGACAGATGTGGTGGCTACATATTTTCCCCAACAGACACCCCTTTCATTCATTGGATTTCACTTAAATCATGGGGACTCAATCATGTGTGAGGGTTACTTAGGGCAGCCTGCCTAGGAATGCAACTTCTCTAGGCTGACACCGACATTAAAACATTTTGATGTTTGCATAATTCTTCCCAAGAGCCAAACCCGCTGCTGCAGAAATTATCTAATTATCAGTTTATTGCACCAATTGGAATGCGTGAATGAGGTCTAAAGCTTGCAGTTGCACTAATAGAGCACAACACAAGTCCAAGAAGCCAAAGTATTTAAACATGACATGGTGTAAAAAAAAAAAAAGCACTTACTGTTAAGTTGTCTCTAAGTAGCTGCATTATAAGAGTGCTATCTTTGTAGGAGTCTTCATTGAGGGTGTCTAGTTCTGCGATTGCTTCATCAAATGCCTATCAAAAGAAATGTCAATATTTTAGCCCTAATTCGTCAAAAAAGGTAAAAAGCTATATAAAAGATTAGTACAAAACAATAAATCTGGGTTGCAGGATCATGGGGGATGGGCAGAGTACATACAAAAGCTGATATTTGGGCTTGAAAGCCTCAAAAGAAGTTCAAGGTTAGAACAAGAGCACTCCAGCTGCAAAACTCATGACCTGTAAACTGGTTACAAATTCAGGGGGTTAAAATTACCTAGAATTATATATGTGCAGGTCAATACTCACAGTCTTTGCCAGTGAACACGCCTTTTCCGGGCTATTAAGAATTTCATAATAGAATACAGAAAAATTCAGGGCCAAGCCCAAGCGGATGGGGTGGGTTGGCTGCATTTTTTGCTTGCTGATGTCAAACGCTTCTTGATAAGCTCCTTGCGAGTCTGCTATTGGCTCTGTAAAGGTAAAAAAAAATATAAACCACAGTTATAGCATTCTACAGAACATTTCACATTGTATTTGATATGCGCAAGCTTTGAAAGGCTCTCTGAGGCTCCTTCAGGCAAACAGATAAGAGGGAAATATAGATTACCCAGTAAGGAGGGTGGGGGATCCCCGAATCAAAGCAATACCGCTTGTTAACTTTCATGTGCACTGCAGTGGTGTGTTAAAGTAGGTGTATGCAATCAAATCAGAAACATTGGAGCCCGGAGCCCCTCAACTACTGAATTAAGCGTGGTTTTATTTGATCAGGTAACACTGTTGTATGAAAAACTTGCTGTAGTAAAGCAGAGGACAAAACCCGACTAAGTCAAACTGCAGTTTAATGTGAATCTAAAGCCATCTTCCCTGCTTTTGATAGAGGTGTGTTTTTACTGTTGCCCATGTCCCTGTGCTGGGGAGATTCACCCTTTGGATTTTTCTTGTCCCTACAAATAAATATTTCCCAGGACAAAGCTTGACAGCAGAACAAAATATTGGGGCAATGTTCTAAGAGCCTCAGACCACTTCCCCTAGTTTGGAAAGACTTCTCACTTCCTGTTGTGTGTATAGGGCAGCAAGGAAGGCAGGCAGTGAGCACCCAAACAAGATCCACTGCCTGAAACACTACAGGCCATCACCACAGTGTGTGGTCTGGTTCTCAAGGCTGCACTGATCTGGATGCAAGGCTTTTACATTTGTAGTAGAAGAGAACGGATTAGGTTGATTGAAGAATTTATATAAGAGCTACTTAAGCAAAGGGACGTCTCCATTGCAAAGAGGTCCATCATCAAATCACTAGCAAAAAAAACCTGGAGGTCTCAGAGTGGGGTAGGGCTATAGGAGAACTATCGAGGGGCATGCCAAAAGACTGGCCAGTGTCCAGTCACTTGAAAGGTAGCAACCTATATCAATAGGTCTATGAGGATAGAACCCACAAAGGAAGACGAGGACCAGGGCTGCTCTCTACAAAAGCATTTAAAAGAATGACCGCTACAGCGCGGTTGTCCAGTTCTGGGAGGGTGTCATATGACGCCCTCCCAACACGCCGCTGGCAATCTCCATGATCACTGTGTCCTACGGACACAGCTGATCACGTAATGTGGTAAAAAGGACAATCACAGCAGCCTTTTACCACATAATCAGCTGTGTCCAATGACACCGCAGATCACCGGGTAAACGCAGTTGTCGGCTGCATTTTCCTCACGCTGTCACAGCATGAGGAAAGTACTGCCGATAACTGGCAATTGTCAGAAACCAGTTCAGCACTGATGACCAGTGCCCAGCAGTGCCATCCACAAGTGCCCAGCAGTGCCCCACCCCTCAGTGCTGCCTATCAGTGCAGCCTCATCAATGATCAGTGAAGGAGAAAAATTACCTGTTTGCAAAATTTTATAATAGAAAGAAAACCTGTCAAATGTTTCGCTCTTTTGTTTATAGTGCAAAAAAAACCAAAACACAAAAACCCATTGGCGATTAAATACCACCAAAAGAAAGCTCTATTTGTGTGAAAAAAAAAAAATTATAAAATTTTCATAATGGGTCCAGTGTTGCATGACAGCGCAATTGTCAAAGCGAGACATCGCTGAAAGCTGAAAATTGGCCTGGGCAGGAAGGGGGTACAAGTGCCCAGTAGGCAAGTAATCATCTAATCCAGCTGCCAAAATATTAAACCATCTGAAGTCTACGGACAACTAAAAGGGGACAAAAAAAAAAAACAAAAAAAAAAAAAAAAAAAAAACAAACTTTGTTTTGGACAGAGTGAGAACACCTGTCAGTTTTATTGCTGTCTGTGCCCCCATTCACTAGGTCCATTTGTTCTGTTAACCGTTATAAAATGTGAAAAAAAAAAAAAAAAAAAAAGGGCGCATGAGCAGAGCGGACCAAGATGGCCACCATCTGATTTAGCTCCGCTCACCCCGGACACTCCGCCTCCTCTCCCTGGGACATTACAGCGGTCATCAGGTCTCTGCTGGTCTCTATAGGTGTCAGAAGGTGTGGGAGTGCAATCGGTGGCCATGGTTCCTCCTGATCAGGTCAGGGCTAAGCAGCAAACTAATCCTAAACCACAGCACCGCCCCCCCCCCCCCCTGCAGACGAAACCACAAGGCAGTCACAGGGAAACTCAAGAGGATTCAGCCGACAACTCTACACATTCCCCTCTGCCCTGCAACCATCCCGCACGGATCAAGATTCTGTTGGGCAAGATTCGAGAAATTGTTTCGGGAGGAGCTTGCCAAAACATCCCGCAAACTATCAGATTTACTCAAATAACTTAGAAATGTGGGTGAGTGGGCTGCTCTCCTAGAACACAGAATGGATTATGTTACTACAGTTTTAGATGGCCATTAGGGCGATACAGAAAATCTGCAGGCAGACATACACATTCTCTTAATCAGTTGGAAGAGGCGGAGAATAGAGCTTGTCGCAATAATACTCATATTAGGGACCTACTATTACAGGTCTTCATGGCTCTGTGTTTTCCCTGTTACAAGAGTTAATCCCTGATGTCCCAGTGGATCGCTTGGAAATAGGATACACAGAGCCTTAGGCTGCAGACCACCTGAAGGCCCACCTCGGGACATCATTTTGAAGTTGAACCAGCAAACACAAATGCTCCTGCGCTTGGGGATGGACTCGATGCAGGCTGCAACCACATGAAGAATGTCCTGGAACATGCACACCTTGCTGCCCTCAACAGACCAGGGGAATCCAAATATACTGAATGAGGAAAGAACAAAGAGGGCGCACAGGCCTAGTGCATTACCATAAAAAATGTTTAATAAAATAGTTGTTGTACTCACAAACAATAAAGTCAAGGCACATCATAAAAGAACAGCTGGGTCAACACCGCGCTGAGTGGGGCCAGGGCTCTGAGGAAGAGGCAAGTCCTCGAAACGCGTCAGCCTATTGGATGTCTACATTCCCCATTACGGACTGTTACCCAGTGCGGTGTTGACCCAGCTGTTTCATGATGTGCCTTGACTTTGTCATTTGTGAGTACAACACCCATTTTATTTCTTATTAAACATTTACGGTAATGCACTAGGTCTGTGCGCCCTCTCTTTGTTCTTTCCTCAATCATTTTGAAGTTCCATTATTATAAAAAGAAGGAACAGCTGATGTGAACAGCTAGAGAAATGAAGACCCTTTTGTTTCAGACTCACCCCCATCAGATTTACTGACCTCTATGTGTGGGAAAGGGTGTGGTGGTTTGATGGGGTTTATTTTTTCTATGAGGGTTTTTTTTTTTTGCTTTCCTCTGCTTAGATCAAAGCCCTCAATTGGGTCGGTTCGGGTAATGTTATGTTGCTTTGTTTGGGGAGCCTCTAGGTTGATGGTCGCATTGAGCCTAATGGGGTATGTGTCGGTTGAATTTTGGCCCCCACATGGCGCGCTTCCATGGGTGAGACAGCGGGTTCGCAGCCTCAGCCTGGAACTAGTTAGTTCTCTGCATCTGCTATTACGAGTGGGTGGCTCCTACCGCTCATTGCTGAGATATGGAGTATCATCCCGCCCAATCATCTACACACTGTTTTAAGTGTTGGTTTGACCCCTTGTGCATTTTTTCTGGGGTGCTACATGCCACCTTCTTGTTCCCTGATGCAGGGTAGTTTTCTGTTCCCCAGGGGTTCCATTGGATACACATGGTGCATCACTCTGGCTCTGAAGCATTCTACCCATAGTGTGTCCGTTTTTTTTTTTTATGGAGTTTTCTTCCTTTCTGGTTCCCTTAATCTTGGTGATGACCCTTAGCTTTTTTTTTTTTGCCTTTTCTCTGTTCACCTTAGGGGTTGGGGGGGGGGGGGGGATAGGTAGATTAGTTTGAGGCGCTCCCATGGTCGAGTAATTTTTGTCTGTTGTCAGGACCCTCACTTGGTTGTCAATGTTCAAGGTTTGAATTCACCGCAGAAAAAACGGACTAAAGTTTTTAAATATCTTCGCTCCTCCAAAAATCAATAAGTGTGCCTGCAGGAGGCTCACCTGACCTCTTATAATTCCTGATTTTTAGATAGTCATTATGTCCAGGTCTTTTTTTGCCTCAGCCCCTGTTAAAAAGAAGGGGGTTCTTTTAGCAATTCGTAAATCCTTGCCTTTTCAAGAGCATAAAGTAGTTGGACCCCCAAGGCCGTTCGTCGTAGGGATCCTACAGGATGTAGAGGTCACATTCTGTATATACTATGCCCCTAAACTGATCACAGGGGGGGGGGGGGGGGGGGGGGGGGGGGGGGGGGGGGGGGTTTGCGACTCCTTTTCTTCCGCATTTACCCTCGATAAAGATTCCTACGGTGCCATGGTTCCATTATCACACAGTGTTCAGTTCCCTCTGTGTCCACGAGCTCCCTCTTGGTATCAATGATTCTCTTCTCTCTTTCGCTTCTGTAGTTGAGGATGTCCGGATCCACTCCTTTGATTACTTTCGGAATAACCTGGTTACAGTCTCTTAGTCTGTCACCCTTTTGGAAGCGTATAAGGCGACTATGGGTCATATCATACAGTTGGCTTCCAGGCGGCGTAAAGAAAGACCAACATCGGCGGACTTTGGAACGTGAGCTTGAATAGGTTATGGTGCTGTTTAAGAGGTCTCCAACGGCTGAGCTCAGACGGAAGGTAGACAGTCTTCGCACAGATCTCAATCTGTTTGACTGACAAGGCTGAGCACCATTTGCGATGGTCTCGTCAGAAGTTTTATACGACTGGCACCAAAATTGGGACTATGTTAGCTAATAAGTTACGATCATTTGCCCCTCAACATCATTATACTCTGAAAACTAGGAAGTGTCTGAGAACCTCTAATCCCAGACAGTGGGGGAGTTCTCATTTTTCTAAACTATGCTAGCTCGGGGGATGCCCCAGCTGATGTCATTGACACGTTTCTTTGGAGACTCCTCTACCCCATATAATGGATGATCAAAAAGGGGCACGTTGGGTGCGGATATTTCACAGGATGACTACTGAACTGATGGCTACTAAACAGACTATTGCTGGTTTTTGAAAATCCCCTACTCTACAATTTGGAGGTCAGGTCCAGAATCCAAGGTTTCTTTATCAACAAAAAATTGACGGCGGTATTGGAGGATAAACATAAGTTTCCCTGTTTGGCAACCAAGGGTGGATTACCGACCAGTTTCTCGTTTTACTACAAAATTTTTACTAATTATGTGTTGCGTTTTGCCTCTCCTCTCCCCTTATGAGGGGATGGTGTCTCCTGGCTCTCCACAAACACCACCCCCCCCCCTTCTCCCGCAAACTTTGTTGGCCTGTTTTTTCCCTCTGCTCTTTTTGTTTTCCGGTCTTCTCTGTGATTCCTCCCCCCCCCCCTCTTTCGTATGGCTTGTTTATATTAGACCGATTGTCTAACATTTATTTTTGTCATCATACAGGTCTGATTTCCAGGGACAACATTGCCTCATGAGAGTGTGGCTCTCTGTGTTTTCTTTTTGTTTCTTTGTATGTAGCTTTTATATTTCTGAAAGTGGTTAAGGACCTCACGGCCCTTTGCCTTCAAGTGTTATCTGGACCCCAGTGCGGGTCTTGTATGTGTAGCTCTGTGCTTGCTGTGTGTTGTTCCCCTATTTTATTGTTTGTATTACACAATTAATGATGATTTGTATGTTTCTTTTAACATGCCTAATAAAGTTTTTGGTAAAAGAGGGGGGCAAAAAAAAAAAAAAAAAAAAACTTGGGGGCTGTCCACAGAAAAGCATAAAAGGGGGAAATTTTCCAATGGGGACACTGGACCTGGTGGTCACCATGGGACACAGAAAAAAAAAAAAAAAAAATTACACACACAGTGAAGGAAATAAGTATTTGATCCTCTGCTGATTTTGAATGTTTGCCCACTCACAAAGAAATGATCAGTCTAAAAATCAAATGGTAGGTGTATTGCAACACAGAGACAGAATAGCAAAAAAAAAAAACCCCAAAAAAAACAATGCATGCCTAACAAATTATGCACCGATTTGCATGTTTATGAGGAAATAAGTATTTGATCCCCTTCACAAAACATGACTTAGTACTTGGTGGCAAATCCCTTGTTGGCAATCACAGAGGTCAGACATTTCCTGTAGTTGGCCACCAGGTTTGCACACATCTCAGGAGGGATTTTGGCCCACTCCTCTTGGCAGATCTTCTCCAAGTCATTAAGGTTTGGCAACTCGAACTTTCAGATCCCTCCACAGATTTTCATTCGAATTAAGGTCTGGTGACTGGCTAGGCCACTCTAGGACCTTAATGTGCTTCTTCTTGAGCCACTCATTGTTGCCTTGGCCGTGTTTTGGGTCATTGTCATGCTGGAACACACATCCACGACCCATTTTCAATGCCCTGGCTGAGGGAAGAAGGTTCTCACCCAAGATTTGACGGTACATTGCCCCGTCCATCATCCCTTTGATGTGGTGCAGTTGTCCTGTCACCATAGCAGAATGTTTCCACCACGATTGACAGTTGGGATGGTGTTGTTGGGGTTATTGGCAGCATTCCTCCTCCTTCAAAACACGGCGAGTGGAGTTGATGCCAAAGAGCTCGATTGTGGTCTCATCTGACCACAACACATTCAACCAATCCTCCTCTGCATCATTCAGATGTTCAGTGGCAAACTTCAGACGGGCCTGGATTGTGCTTTCTTGTTTGGATTATGGTTACTTATGCCTGTTATACAATCATTTTGTGAGTATATTTCCTTATTAATAAAATTAGTCACTATTTATTGAGGTAATGCGCAAGGTTTGTGCGCTTTCATCTTCCTCTATGTGCTTTCTTGAGCAGAGGGACCTTGCAGGCACTGCAGGATTTCAATCCTTGTCAGCGTAGTGTGTTACCAATTGTTTTCTTGGTGACTGTGGTCCCAGCTGCCTGGAGATCATTGACAAGATCCTCACGTGTATTTCTGGGATGATTCCTCACTGTTCTCATGATCATTGACGTTTCAGGAAGTGAGATCTTGCATGGTGCACCAGACCTAGGGAGACTGACAGTTGTTTTGTGTTTCTTCCATTTGCGAATGATTGCCCCAACTGTTGTCACCTTCTCACCAAGCTGCTTGGCAATCGTTTTGTAGCCCAGTCCAGCCTTGTGTGTCTACAATCTCGTCCCTGACATCCTTGGACAGCTCTTTGCCATGGTGGAGAGTTTGGAATCTGATTGCTCCTGTGGACAGGTGTCTTTTATACAGGTAACAGAATGAGATTAGCAGCACTCTTTAAGAGACTGCTTCTAATCACAACATGTAACCTGCACGAATGACACCTGGTAGCCAGAAATAATGCTGAATGATAGGGGATCAAATGCTTATTTCCCTCATGAACATGCAAATTTGTGCATAATTTGTTAGACATGCATTTCTTTTGAATTTTTTGTTGCTATTCTGTCTGTGCCCACTCACAAAGAATCGGTCTAAAACTCGAATGGTAGGTATATTGTAACAAACAATCAAAATCAGCAAGGGATCAAATACTTACTACATACATAAACCATCCCTTACGCTAACTAAAATAAAAATGCCTATAGCTCTACTTTAAAAAGGACAATATTTGGGGGGAGGGGGAGCATAGAAATTTTCAGACTGTGGCCCCGTTTTTTTTGCCACAAGACAAATTTAAACCTCAGTTTCATTGAATTCTAAAAGAACACTCACGGTTTCGCTCATCTTCCTTCGCCACTTCTGAAAGGTATCGGTAATAGTCCCCCTTCATTTTCAGGTAAAATACTTGGCACTCTGGTTGCGTGGCTTTAGGAATTAAGAACTTCTCAAGCAGTTTCTAAGAAAAAAAAAAAATTGTAAAAAAGCATGAAGGACGGACACACACACACCCTAGTAACCTGAAAGTATCTTCAAAGTATGTTCAGTGCTTTACCTAACCAAGTTCACCATATCTCTCCCCACTTCAAAGTTTATCTTAAGGCTACATGCATGTCATTACTTGCACACTTAACGGCACTTACATTATGCTAATGACCTATAATCCAAGGCCATTTGATATTGAGGAACAGAATTCTATATACAACAGTATTTTGCACAGACATCCATGAAAGACAAGAAAACGATAGTGGGACAGTTATACGCAAATTCAAACTCTGGAAGCTGTGCCCAAAATAGGCAAGCATAGGGCAAATGACTATTCACCATCATTGCCCGTGTCTCCCTACAGCTACTCTTCCACATTGTCTTCTAGTGGTGTACCGAAATGAAAATTCTGATGCCAAAACAGGTACCAGAAATTCTGAATGCATGTGGCCGAAAACCAAACCATCTGTGTATGTGGGGGTGGGGAAGCTCCAATTTTTTGTATTTTTCTTCTTTCATGTATATTTTATACTAAAACACCTCAGACTGTCTACTTTGCAAAAAAAAGTAGTTATTTGGAGGATGTGTACTGTCCTGACATTTTTGGGCCTCAAGCAATTATAATGGCCGTCAGTACTTAAGGACAGATCGATTTTTAGATATATAGAATAGTTTGTAGAATCTATAGCTTTCCTACAGACAAAATAATAAACTGATTTGGATTATTTTCACCAAAGAAATGTAGAATACATCTTGGCCTAAATCTATGAACAATTATTTATTTGCTATATTTTATAACAAACGAAGAAAAATGTATTTTTTTTTTTCAAAATTGTGACAATGGGTGCAGGGAGAACCACCATCCGGGATCACAAAGCGTGCATCGCTGGCGTCAGGCGGTGACCATAGGAGCATGTTGCAATCTAAATATGGGTGGAACATATCCCAAAGCTGTGCTTAGCCTTTAAAAAAAAACATTTTACACTGACTGTTATACAATTCATCCAAAAAAAATAACATGCTGCTCTGAAACTCTTTATTGTAATATTTCTAGCTGTACTATCATCCAGCGTGGATGCCATTTCACTACATTGCACTATGGGGAGGGGGAATTTGATGCTGCTAACCAAACACTAAAGTGTTTTGAAATGCCTGTGATTTACAGAGCTTTTTGAGAGTCCAGGGTACAAAGAGAAAGTTCTGGTGGTGGCCTAAAATTCCACCCTTGCAGTGGGGCTGTGCCTGCACTTTTAAAGAATAGCTACTTGTTTATCTATGGGATTTGGTAAAAACAGCTTTACTTACCTGGCCCTCTGCTAGTGCAGGATCCTCTGCAGGCCAGCCCCCAAGGATCCTGTCCCCTCTGCCACTGCAGTCCAAGGTCCTCAACATCCATAATCCTGCAATGAGGATGCCCAGGGATAGTCCATTGCCAAAGCAATGGGGCACACTGTCTTCCAGGGGAGCAGAGGATTGGCCAGTTAAGTGCTTTTTGCAAAGCCAGGATATATAAAAGTAGCAAACCTGAGAGTGCAGCCACAGCTCCACTGCAAGTTAGGTTACCTTGAGTTGGGCTTTACACACCTATCTAAATGCAAAAACAAAAATATAATCTATTGCAGATTACCAATCTTAGAGGTTGCAGCTTCATGACTACTTTTGGCCCTTACCACTGGGCAACCCTGCAAACACCACTTCTATGTCCCACCTTTTTCCACTATATCTATGGAGCAAACCATGGTGGTCACACAGGCTGGACTTCATTATCTTTATTAGGGTCTGTGTTAAAGGGCTTCTTTCTTTAAGTATTGCATTACAAGACTATGGAAGTACAAACAACACACTTGAGGTATGAAAACACAGGTCAGGTGTGGTCAACTGCAGATCAAATACACCCGTTAATGATTTCTGAATGATCTCAGAAGTGTTTCAAACTGACGCCATCAACATAGGATCTCTCATGGTGGATTAGTTAACAGTTACACTCTATAGATAAAATTCGGTGTGCTTTTTAGGCCTCATGCATAGAGCTTTAAAAAAACGCTGCCCTTACAGGTGGATCAGCTTTTTTTCCCAGCCTGTAAAAGCACCTCTATGGAAGTCTGTGCACTCATGCACACAAAAGGCATTTACAGGCGTATCAGAAGGGGAGCATTTACAAACTGAAAAACAAACACTAATGTAGCCACCGCATCCAAGGGCTAGTAAGACACCAAGACAAGTGTTACTGGCTGGATGACCAGATGAAAAACACAATGAGCCTGGGTTCACATATATGCGGTGTGGTACATCGCATGTGATTTGCGCCACATTCCTGTGCATATCACATGCAATTTGTGTGCGGTGCAATTGAAGCCAGTTTGTATGGCTCTAATCGCACCGCACTCAAAAAGGTGCAGGACCCATTTTTGTGTCTGCACTAGAATCGGATCGCATGGGTATTCACACCTATGTGATCCGATTGTGCACATCGCTCTGCATTTTGTGGACCAATTTCGGGGTGTTCACACACACACAGCAGTTTTAATGAATGGGGTGCAATTCAGATGCGATGCAGAATTCGCACAGAAAAGGCTGGGAATTCCGGACCGCATCAATGTGAACCCAGGCTTAGGGCACATTCACACCAGAAACTGTACATAACTGCACGTTTTTTTCCTTGTAAATATGCATGCTATTCTATATGCATTTGACCTGTGAGGTCACTTTTCTTTCCTGGGGCTTCTATGTGCACTGTGATGCGCTGCAGTGCAGAAAAATGCAGCATGCTGTACTTTACTGCACTGGTGTGAACTATACATTTCACCCTGTCCCTTTCTCAATCTGTTTTTCTATTTTCTGTTTTCTGAGAGGGCAATGTAGAGAATAACAGAGTCAGAGCAGCAATTGCACTTGAATATGCAAGTCTGTTTTCTTTTGTACATATTTGGAATATTCAGATAAGCGTGAAGGTCTCAGAGCCTTTGAACTCCCTCTATATTGAATAACACACAGGTCAAACATCTTTCATTGCAAGTAATGTTTTCTACTGTAACCATTTGCTCTGCTCTACTGGACTTTGAAGATTTGTTCTTGGAGTCCGGAAAGCATTGCACCAGTGATCAACAGATTGCTGGTGCAATGCAGGACTTCTGCAGACCTGTCAGTATCTGTGTGCTTGTACCTCGTATGGAGAAGCAGATGCACACCAACAAAGAATCAAACTACTACAGCGCAGTGTTATTTCATTAACTACAAGCCTACAGCCACAAAGGCTGTTGCAAAATGTAGTTTTCCCATTCACAGAATACTGTGAATGAGTGCTGTGGCCAGGCCCTGCAGACCACCTTTACCTGTGAAAAAAGGGGGGAGGGGTGTTTGACTTTGGGGAAAAAAGATCCCGGTTAACTGTCACAATCGTGAATACGGGCTGGTCTTTTCGTAGCATGTTACGCCCTGAATGTTACGAATAGGGAATTTTTTCTTTAAATTGCTAGCATTGCACCCAACTCTGAATGTCCCTATTGTGGGTCAACACAACAGAGCAGATTTGACACAAATCCACAAAAAGCTAACTCTCCCTCTCGCCAATCTCTAACTATT